GCAAAATGTGAGCATATCCTGCATGGCAACCGCGTGTTTCATTTTAATTTGGTACACGAGAGAGGTTTGACTGGAAAGTATGCCAGTTTGACAAACGCTAAGAAAATGCCAACAGACAAGTTGTTTATCATATACGCCCATGATACACTCATTGATAATAAAAGAGATGCATTTAATATTTTTATAGACAAGATGAGGTGTTGGTTGATATTTCTTATACTAGCTGTACTCACGACTTCAGTACAGGGTTTAGGAGAGGATCTCACATTGCTAATTGGACAGAAGGGGGCGAACGTTATTGAAGCTGTTGTTGACAAGATTAGAGAAAATTGTATTTTTCCCGGTGATCGGTTGTTCCTTACACGTTTTGCTTTGGTCCAGTCTAATAATGGTCTTAATGGCGAAACGTACCGAGATGATTACCATGGTGGAATATGGCAGGTAATGACGTAGCATTATATCATTCAAAATGTCTACCGATATCTAATATCAATCATCTGTTTCATAGAGAATTACGAAAGTCTTCTAATATCTCTTTAAAAGATGACTGCCGTCAACACGTGACCGCGTCAATCATTGGCTCAAAGGCGTGTGTATTGTTTACATAAGACGTTACTGGTTCTGGTAGAATGGTGCCTTTTACTCATTTTAATACCCATTTACACTAAATAGGAAATACATAAAAAAATGTTTTAAAATTTAATGGGTCGGGAGGAAAAAAGTTAATATTTGGGGCTCATTAAGCCGCACTGATGTCATCCCTATCAGTGATTTTAGCGGCACTGTCATATTGGTAACTGTCGAATATTGGTACAAAATTATTATACGATTAAACCACATTACACACAACTTGAAGTAGGAAATGGAGTGTGTGAAGTACTAAACAAGTAATTAAAATTTGCTTTTGACCATTTTGTTTTTGTATATTAAAGATAGACGAGGACAAATACAACCTAACACAAACCTGTCCAGGGATTTTAAAGCAAACGTGCGATGATATTCAAGCAACTCTAAATATTGACTGGACGGAAACAACTTGGCTAGATTTACGTAAACCCCTATATTCGGGATTGGCTGCTTCACTGTACATCATGTTTAAGGAAAATATAACATCTGGCTATACCGAAAATTTACCCGGTGATAGACAAAACCAGTCGATGATTTGGCAGAAGTTATTTGCTCCAGCCAGAGACGCTTCAGATTTTGTTAATATCGCAAGTTCATCGTATAAAGGTATCTTTTTTTAACACTTTAAGAAGTATGATCGATCCGAATTGTTGATCTAAAACACAATTATATAGATGTAAGACCAAACTGGATAATATTAACTGACCCTACATTGTACCCAACACACAACATTAACATTACGCTTTTATTATGTCACATGAACCCGAACGCACCAGAAAAAAAACCCCGAACAGATCAGTGATGCCATACCGTAAGATTATATCGGGAATATCAAGTTGGCGAGCTAGGAATACTTTTAATAAGACCGGTACATATTTCTTTCGTAGTAATCTGGATGTTAAAAACGCTGTAAAAGTATTTAAGTGTATAGGTGCCTCATTAGCACGGGGGATTTTCTTTGTCTTCATATCTGACCTAAGGATCATAAAATGGGTTGCCTACTAGTCTGATAACAAAAACTGACCACGAAAGACTTTATTAATATCCACCTATTCGCTGATAATATATACATACCCACCACTGGCATGCGACCAGTCACTTTACATAGTTTCCACATCGCTACCACCAACTTTACTCCCAACCCCTAGTTTATCGTGACTTTGTGTTATTCACAAAAACTGATTTTATTTCAGGCACGTGTAACCGGCCCATAGATTTAGCATTTATTATTGACAGTTCTGGAAGCATAGGAGAAGATGATTTCACCAGGATTCTACAGTTTATAACCAATGTAGTAGATGGTTTGAATATCGGCCCTGATGAAACACAAATCGCTGTCGTACAATTTAGTAGTAACGCTAATGTAGAATTCTATCTGAACAACTACACGGATATTGCAAGTTTAACACAGGCTGTGGCGAATATTAATTATATAGGCGTTGGTACCAATACAGCAGAGGCGTTAATTATCACTACAAATAGTGTATTTGTCGAAAGAAATGGAATGCGATCCAACGCAGCGAGAGTGGCCATTGTTGTAACCGACGGACAATCTAATAATCCAGTTGAGACTATAGCAGCTGTCCCAATATTAAAATCTAAAGGAGTCATTGTATTCTCAGTCGGAGTTGCAAATGTGGATCCAGTGGAATTCGAAACCATTTCATCTGAGGTTAATTGCACCCATGTTTTTATTTTGAATGATTTTACTGAAATAGAGACCATCATAAATGACATGCAGAAAAAGGCGTGTCGAGGTAAGTCGTTGTAAAAGTTCTAACTTGTTATTTAGATGAAACCCTTGGGGCTCTTTTAGTCAATGGTATGACTATTATGCACTGCAAAATAGACTAAAGTAAACCTGTTCATAATGCATGGTATCTGATCAAAGTCGAATATTTGGATGTAATTGGGTGTGATTAAATATCTAACAGTAAAAAGAAAATTCATTTATTTTTCAGTCCACCAGAATTTATACTACAATTCACGTATAACATTACCTTTAACGGAGAATGCTGCAGAAGTATATGTCAAGATTCCAGCTCTTAAAAACCAGAGTGTACTTATAGTAAGAATATTTTATCATTAACAAAAGACAATACAGCTCGGTAATTGTAAGAAAATGTTCTTAAATTGATAAAATACATCATATTTTTCAAGTATTAACAAAATACATTATGTCAGTCTGATTAAAACACAGATCGTTTAAAATTTCATTTTATTTGTCTTTACTACACTAGGATCTGGAAGAGTTGTTATATAACCCGCGTTCTGGTTGATGTGAGGAAATAGCCAATGACATTGTCTGATGCAACGAGTTCTTGGCTTGCGATGCACGGAACTGTGGGTATCTTACTAGGAACATCAACGCTGATTGGTTTATCAAATGTCTAACGTCATAGGGTTAAAAGCCGCTCGCATGACCCCTGACGTAACCTCCCACTACAACTGATCAGATCTTCATGTAGTGTAGGCCATCGAAAATATAAAAAAATGAAATGAAATATAGATCTGTATTATAATCAGATTGTACATCATATGTGTTAATTTATGATGGTAACAAAAGATTTGTTTCTCTCATGTTTATCGTCCGCATTTTGGGAATTTTTTTTAACATTTTCAGACAAATGTGACATGTGGTGTAGTAAAAATCTATGTTTCTGATGATTCGTCCAACCCCAGTGCTGCTCTGTATACTTTAAGAGATGTGGCATTACCCGACACACCGTCTGTAATACGTTTGAAGAACGGAACAGAAGTGACCATCACCTTTCAGGGGTATAAAGAAGGAACGTTAAAAACTATTGGATGTAATAGGCCTGTTTTTACATCTTCAGTTCAGGAAAATCCTTTAGGTAAAGTAATTTACCTATTTGGTTTAATTTTAGTGTCTTATATGTTAACACGAAAAACAAATAAATCTCATTTTATGAGATGTTATATATAATAGAAAATGTATTACTTTATATTTAAAGGTGCTGAAATTGTTTGTCGTAAGAATGAAACTGAACAACGGTGTACATTGACAGATTTTCAACAGAGTAAATATAATAATTATGTCGAAAATGGTAAGTTTTTTCTAAAAATAACAAATTCTCTTAAATAAACAGCCGTATAAAACAAATTTAACTTCTAAAATGAAATAAAATGGGTTTAACTTCCTTTTCTGCACCTACCGTGGGGACTACCGTTCGCCATGTTGTGTTCTGTGAATTAAATCTAACTTGGACAGCGACAGTACGGGTTACTGCCAGGGATTCGTTTACGGGAACGACCTGCATCTCTGACACGGGTTATCCGGAGTTCTAAATTCCGAGAAAGTTTCTCAACTTAGACCGGGATAGATCCCTAGGCCTCTTATGTAGTCTAAAATAAACCATCTATCACAGTTTCCTAAAAGAGTGCTATTCCAAGAAGAGGCTGGGAAAATAGGGTAACACCACATTGGTCACCTGTATCGTGCACGAGGCATGATGTGGTTACTTTTTACAAAGCCCCCTCCCCATACCAGCTTCACGTAACCAAAATTTTTCATATACATGTTGACATTTGGGTAAACTTTGGTGTATTTTAGCCTTTCGTGTCGTAAAATGGAATTAATTTAGTACATCACCGGTTTTTGTATTGTTTTAAAAACATGTATGTTGTAAATTTATAAGCGTTTTTGTAAAGATCATTGTTATCACCTATGACAATTCTCATTGTCTGTGCTGTGTCAGGTAGCCACTGTGGCTAAAAGGGTAAGACGCTGGCTCGCTACCCTGCAGGTCCCGTGTTGTTGACCGAGAAAGTCATTCAGGATTTTCCGGCGTGGTGCAGGACAGAGGGCCTGGCAAGGACAACTGTCTAGGCGTTCGAATGGAACGAAAAACCGAGATGCACGTAAAGAAACCTTGTCAGTTGGAATACGATAAATGAGTAGACCGTAATGCCGCTGTCCGGGCAAAACTTCTCTCATAGCACACTGTATGGTGTATGCCCGTCTTCATTAACCAAGTCGGTGCAGAATTTCATTTAAATACTTTTATATATTGTTAAATTGTATTTCATTTTCTTTGGTGTGTATGTTTTGTTGGACTGTCTATAGACATTAAGATTTACAGCATGTTTATATTTATTCTAGATGTTCTATATCTTGATAAAGATTGTACATCAGGACTATTTGGTGATAGCGAACGGATTTTACATACTTACAGTCCCGACCCCACTAAGTTTATAAAATGTGACGAAGATGAGAACTCGTTTATTACTCAGTGTCCTGATGGACAGGAGTGGAATGCAGGTGCACATACATGTGGTACACAAAATAAACCATCGAATCAAGACGATTTACCATCTGTTGACAAGAGCAAGAATAAGAAAAATCCAACAAACCAGACTGAGAGTCTAGTGATTATTGTAAATGATTTTTATGAGCTGGTTAACATGTTTAAAAACGAAACAAGTAGGTATATTTTAAATACTTTTTTCTTTTATGCGTATAGATGTTTTAAAATGGTTAGGCCGTCCCGCCCCAACGTGAATTGTGGTTTATATATAACCCTTTTAATCCAGACCTGGGTGGCGTCCTTACTGCGCTGCTACGGCGACGGAAAATGATTTCAGAGCGCGCCAAGATCGCCATAAGCGTGGTAAAAGCGTGGTGGTAACGCCAGATATCGTGCTGTGGTCACCATCGACGTCAATGATCTACTATCTGACCTGGAAAGTTTGGGACATTTTCTCGCGTTGTGTTCACGTTTGCCGGCGAACTTGTGCATTTTCTGGTCGCCATACAGACGGGGGCATTACATGTAGTAACACACATAATAATCAGTGCGATTCTACCACGTCTTCATTATATAATCATAACCAATAAAAAAATAATCGGAAATTGATTAAGTACCCAATATAAATTTATCATTAGATTGTTATTATTTGTTATTCTAGTGCGGAGTGAAGTTGTGTGTCGTAGATATGGTCAAGAGGTCGACTGTACATTATTTGATATTCAGATCAGTGAATACAGCATATATCTGGCCCAAGGTAAATATGTTTATTTTCTATCACAATGACATTTAGTTTGTTCCATATCTTAATCTATCCAATATATTATTACAAATTATTTAAATTTACCGATAGATATGCCATCTTACATCTATCATAGAATAACAGTCAAGCGCAATAAGCTGCTATATTTTTGAAGATTCCCAGGAAAATCTTGTCTGCTATGTCACCCTAGGAACGTACGAAGCTACTAGATTCCCTGCAGTTATTGTGATATCACAGATCGTTTTTGAATGCAGTATTTGGCGATAAATGTTGATCTCTAATAATTGTAAGAACGTGATAGATTTTGTTTAATTCAAATTACAGATTCATGGAGTTACAAACCAAATCCATGTCCTACGGAAAATCATTTATTAAGAGAAAAGAAGAATCGCCTGAAAGTTAATGAGTTGGACAGCAGAAAGTTTATTATTTGTAAGTCAGGTGCTGTAATGTATGTTACCCAATGTCCCAACAAGATGCATTATTTCAAAAACGAATTTAAATGTCGCTTACCGCAAACTGAAACAGTTTCTTTAGAAATATCTGTAGCTGCAGTTGGTACAATTAATGACTTTCTTCAATAAATACAAATATAATAGCCTGAATTGGAAATACGATTACCTACGTACTTACATATTCTATTTGTTTTCATTTAATCTTTCGTCTCATGATATATTCTATTTACAGTTCAAGCATTATAATAACGGGTGAAGACACATCCTTTTATTATATTACTAGAAGAATGCCCGGCTTCGCTAGAGGGTCATAACCCCGAAACCGGAAGTGGTAGACTAACGCCACCTGACCTATGTTACTCCCCGGTCCGAGCTACCCCTATACCCCAAATTTCAGACTCGGGGCAGACCTAGTGTAGCCACCAACCCCGAACAGACAGACAAACAGACAGACAGACAGACAAATGACAGTCACAAATATTAGTATAGATAATCATATATTGATATCTATTAAAATTTAATTAAGATATAACAAAAAAAAAACCCTTAAATTTCTCACCTATTATATAGCAAATTGCTATCGGTTAACACTACAATTTACATGTAAGGAGATACAAATAAAATATTATTCAAAATATTACACTGACTTATAAGGACTTTAACGTCACCGTGACGCCAATATAATATTTTGGGGAAAAACTATAAATCTTACGTGTAACTTTATCGTTAAACATTAGTTCATTTCCAGTAGACATGTGTTTATTCATTATATTATGTAATGTACTGATGAATGTAAAAAAATGTTGAAATTAGATTAAAACAATTCCAAACATATACCAACGAAATGAAATAAAATGCGACTTAATGGGTAGAACGCTATAAAAAAACCATCATTATATTATATTATTATTATTAACGTCCAAATTCCAACTGTCAAGGGCTCCTTTACGTGCACACCAATGTGTACACGGGACCTCGGTATTTCGCCCCATCCGAACGAATATATCTTGCCCCTTGCAAGATCCTCGGTCCTACACTGACAAGGGGGGGACAGACCGGAAAATCCTGATGAACTCTCTAGGCCAAAACCGAGGTCGTTGTAAGGTGTCCCCACAAAAACCCCAGAACCCATAAACTGTTTATGAAATCCTACAAGATAACTGACACTTCGGGGAATGATCGTACACAGACTGATATTTGTAGGATTTAATAAAGAATTTTATGGGCTCTGTTTTTTGGGGGGTTTTGGAGTTTTTGTTTGTAAATTTTTGGTTTATTTTTGGGGAGGGGGGGGGGGGCAGGGGTATTCTGTATAAATAAATCCATCAGAAGTTTTTTTTAAATAGAAGCAATGACGTCAAATTTTCTTGTGATGTTGTCAAAGGTGTAATAAATAAAATGGGGTTTAATGGCTTATTTCCCTTCACCCTTACAACTAATGAATACGGCGGTAATACTACATGCGGTGTGCTTTGGGAGACATTTTGCCCGGACAGCATGTCCGAAATGGTGGATGTTTAATGGAGCCTAAACGTATCATAAGGCACTTACTTTCTTTAAGACGTATCCCCGGTTGTACGTGACAAGGAGTAGGGTCGCCTGGCGAACCTCGTGGATTTTCTCCGGGTTCTCCGTTTTCCTCCCACTACTAAATAGCCTTACGCGCATGCGAACCATGTGTCAGTCCTAACCAGTTAAAGAATTACAAATATACGCAGAGACAATACTAGGGCGACCTTCGGTTATCGTGATTTCTTGACTATGGTCGAACTAACTGAATCCGAATTTCATTTAGTCCGGACCATAGTCCGAAAATACTTAACCATGCTATTGTGGCATGGTCGGAGTAGTTCCACGATGTCGGGTGTCGATGAAACGTAAGTGTAGAATATTTAGAAAGAATCTATTTTTGTTTAGTATATTGATTTTAGGAAAGCTTGAAAGAATTTTAAATGGTTGCGACATCTATGAGCAGATAGCTTTTGTTTCGTATGTTATGTCTGAATCTGTATAAGTCTAAAAAAATACGCATTATTTCAATACTTATATAATGCAAAAGGAATCTGAGTCGCGCAAGTTTAATTTCATGAAAGTATTATTTGTTTATTAAACTATATAACATCATATAGCATAGCGATTCATTATCCTCCGTGGAGAGATTATAGACCTTCCTTGGGCTTAGGGTTATGGTCGAGGTCTAAAGCAGAATAAATTGACATTACCATGTCCATGAGAGCAGCCACCTTTTAACACACGATTTTCCGGACCATTCGCGTTCGGTTTCTAGTTCCGACCACTAGTCATGAAAAAATTATAACCGAAGGTCGCCTTTACGATCACAAGGTTAATAAAATGTGTAGCAGAGAAGAGAGTATGTGTCACACGGTGGATATAGGGTGATTTTTTGTAGGAGTTTTTAGTAAGAAAGTCAATAATAAGAAAGAAATCGAAAATTCGATTTCTGGTTGGAGAAGGTGTGTTGTACAAGACGGCTGACATATTGACCATTTGAAATGAACGTGATGTGGCATCTCAGCCAGGCACTGATTTGATATTCTTTTTTAAAACTCGCAGCTTTTTAACATTATTTGACCGGTGGACCTGTAGTCTCAGTCAAAAAGAACCTGCTAGTCTTCAAAGGTACGGAGAGGCTGTGACCGTTGTCAATATTTGATGAAAAGTTCCATTGCCCATGCGTAATTGGGAGGGTTTTTTTTATGTGGTTGATTACCCAGTATTATTTGGCCAAGTCAAGTAAGAGTTGCGCCCCTTCCCGAAATAAATCCCACAATTCATGCACCCGGTATACTATGTTCATCATTGTGGGTGTGCTGTGAAATTTTCGATATGCACTTTGGTGTTATTCCGAAGGGTTAGTATGTGCATAGTTCAGCAGCTGTTCGACTATAGCATTTTGGATAAAACAAAACACATGGTGCAAAAAAAAAGCATGTATTTACAGAGTCCTTGTGTAACTTGTTGACAAATGTTGGGTTGTTTTTTCTTTCTATTTCTTTCTTTGTGAAAATATTTTATTTCAATTTGATGAAAAGGGATCAGGGAACATGCATCACCCATTACCTCATACACGGAATATCAAATATATTATAAAAAATATTATAAAATAATGGGAAACTAAAAAAAGCATATAAAAAAATCAACTGTATACACTATTTATAAGAAAATAAAAATGAAGAGGCTATTTTATAACATGATTACAAATTGATCAGAAGAGAAAAATCCTCAGATTTTGAAACATCTGGCGACATGAAAGTATTAATGTACTATTTTAAAGACATGATTAGTTGTTGTTGTTGGTGTTCTTAGCGTTTAACGTCCGCTTCCACCGAAGGTGATATCGCAGACAAGTTCATTTTAATGATCTTAGCGCACGCGCATGGGTCTTTGCTAAGTGATATGGAACTTAGACTCTAGATTAATGTCATAGGCGTGTGTAGTTTCCTACAGGCTCTCCGTCCTGCATCACTGACAAGGGGGAACCACGCCGGAAAATCTGGATGCTAGCGAGCCAGCGTCTTACCCACTTAGCCACGTGATCCCCGGAAAGAAAGCTGATTGGGTCGACTTTTGATGCCACTGATTTGTCAAAAAGAAATTGCCCAGTCTCGTAGGAGTGGGGCTAGTGTACGTTTCGTTTGTATTTTGGGGGTTAGGGCGTCTAGAGGTTTATCGTAAGGTCTGTCATTGAGTCAAGTGGCGTGGTTTCGAATACTCGCTTGTGCGTGACAAGGAGTGGGGTCGCCTGTCCAACCTCGATGGCTTTCTCCGGATCCTCCGGGTTACTCCTAGAGCTACGCACAGGCGAATTATTAAAATAAAATTGAACCATGTTAGTCCCGAAATAACATAGTTGTGTCGAGTGGACGTTAAACCCCACTTTTATCTCTCTTTGTAGTTTTGAGGACGGAAAGTGGAATGCTGCTTTTAGTAGTTACGAACCACATCACAAGCGAACCAATTGGATATGGACATCTGAGTTTCATGAAGGAGACAAAAACGTATATTGTAGGAAAAAAATAAAAGGTCGGCGCCTTTATCATAATATTGGGTAATTTAGAAAGAGTCAAAAATGAAAACGTGAATTTGAAATTCACATAATTAAAATGAGTCGTAGGGTCTGGTAGCTCGCAGAACGGCAGCTACTGTGAATGGCAATCTTTAGCGTCTGGTTTTTCGTGCACGCTTATGTGTACACGGGGCCTCGGTTTTACGTCCCATCCGAACGACTAGACAGCTGTCCTTGTCATGCCCTCCGTCCTGCATCACTGTCAAGGGGGAACCACGCCGGAAAATCTAGATGAACTTTCTCGGCCAATGCAGGGTTTGAATACCCGGTCTCCAGGCTAGCGAGTCAGCGCCTTACCCACATAGCTACCGGGATCTCTAGATGCTGATAACAAGGAGCTTATTTGATCAAATATATATACATAAAAATATTGATGTTTTTTGATAATATTAGAATATAACATGTATACGCAGCTTCTTTATCAAGGACGTTGGGGAAGGCGTCTGTCTGTCCGTCCGTCCGTCCGTCCGTCCGTCCGTCTGTCTGTCTGTCCGTCACACTTTTTGGGACACGATAACTCTCCTTCTAATTGACCTAGAATGTTCAAACTTGGGGTAGGTGTTTATTCGGTCCATGCCTTGATGGAGTGTGAAGATGAGCATTTTCTGCTTAGAGTAAGTAGAGATAAGCAATTTGATTCGTTGATGCTTTGGGACACGATAACTTTAGTTCTAATTAAGTGAGAGTGATGAAACTTGGTGTACAGTTTCATTACATCAATACCTTGACTAAGTTCGATGATGAGAATTTTCTGCTTAGGCTAAGGAGCAATAATCATTTTGATTGGTCAAGACTTTGGAACATAACAACTCTGCTTCTAATTGAGGTAGTATGTTTAAACTTGATGTAGATGTTCATCTTGACTGAGTTCAATGATTAACATATCGAGCTAAAACTAAGCAGAGATAAGCAATTTCCTTGGTCGATGCTTTGGGACAAGATTACTTTGATTCTATCTGATAGAGAGTGATGAAACTTAGTGTATAGTTGATAATCAGTTTGATTGCTTGATACTTTTGAAACAAATAGATGTGCGATTAATTAATATGTTTCATCTATTTATTTGAGGATTTCGGCGGGGGACATCAGCCTCATTGTTGGCTTGTTTTAATATTAATTTTGTTGTGTGTATATTGTAGTTGAACCAATAATAAGAACAATAACATCTGATGCTGTTGACAACATAATAGATGAAAACTCCAGCGTTACTATTAACTGTTTGGTTGAAAGTATCCCAGTGGCGCATGTATCCTGGTCCAGATCACAACAAGGGGGACAACTCTATTCTGGTAGTCAATATACCATACCTAAAGCTAGTTGTAAACATACAGATAATTATACCTGTACAGCTAGTAATAATATTGGTCAACCTGTATCTAAAACTATTCCACTCATTGATAGATGTAAGTATACAATTCAATAAGCGGAGATTATGTCACTCTTGCGATCCGATACGGCGATGTGTGATTACGTTTGATGCAAAATATAACTGAGAATTGCATGAACAAGGCAACGTAAGTGGTCTTGCGACCAGATATCCCCTGGAATACTATCCTATGCAGTAACTGTTTGTCCCATGGGTTTCCGGTCTTCATTAGCGCAGTCTGAGCTCAGAACAGTAGGATGTTCAACCCCATTTCACTTCATTGGTCTGCGGTACACAGGATATTAACCATATTTGGTCAGCACTGGATCGACATTAGTATTCCACAATAACAACTTTTGTTGAACAATCTGACAAATTGTTGTGATATTTTAGGTACCCCAGTTGTTATGACTACCCAGACTATAGTTGTTATAACTATGGATGTTATAGTTGTACCACGTGGAGAAACGGGTATAATATCAGTCAACGTTTTAGCTTATCCACTTCCGGTATTCACCTGGTATTATCACCAACAAGATGGCAGTCACCAACCAGTTACCATGGTTACAGGTAGAAGAAGTAAACAGATGATGGTCTATCATCAACATTAACTATACGCGATATTAGATACGAAGATGGGGGCATTTATACAGTTAAAATTACCAATAGTCTGGGTGCCACCTCCAAGACGTACACACTATCTGTGATCCCTAACGAAGACGCTGTAAAGGAAGCTGTCGATGACAAGCTAGGGGTTGATATAGCTATAGCTATAGGTGTTGGTATTGGTCTGGTTGTTATTTGTTATTATATGGTGTATCAAGAAGAGAAGGGATGCCATCATGTGTAAGTTTGCTATATCTTTCTTGGTTCCTAGACAGAGAATCACCTCTGTTGTTGAGGTCAATATGAAATGAACCGAAGTAGGTTGTAACGTTCTGCGTTTCCGCAACACGCTATTGGCAACACGCGAACATCAAGGTCAAATACAATTCCACAGTTTGCTACAGAGACTGTTGTTGTGCACGATGCAACGTAGACGTATCTAGTACTCCGAATATCACTTCTCATTTGGTGTGCAGAGTAATGAAAATAAATTGACCTTCCGGTATATTGGCGACAGTAAAAGATATTTATTAGTTTTCATACGAACGTGTGAAATGCGAGGGGCGTGTGGGTATATTGATTATTTGCTATTGTTTTCGGGTAATTTAGTTCAATTTTGTTTTATTTTCAGCAAATGATGGACACGGTGTTAATGACACAGTAAGCTCCCAGTCCAGAGATAATACCACCAGACATTGTAATAGTCCTGTAGACACTGGTGATTCTGTAGAACATGTAAACACTCTATATAACTCTACTTCCTCCGACTACGAGGGACTGGATGAACTTACTATGGACCATGGACCGAACATCTATCTACCACTCACGAACCAGAGACAGGATCATTGAGTCTTATCTCAATACACACAACCACATGGTCAAACTTACGAAATGACTGGATGAACAAACTATGGACAAACAACAAATCTTTCGGACCTTCTTCAACTAAAGAATGGAACAAATTGGATCTCGATATCTGAATTTCGCCGTTTTAAATGGCAGAAGAGAGAATCAGATCATACATAGAAGACCGTCTACATAAATGGACATAAATTGTAACGACACTGGCAGCTACAGTCATCGATTTGAAGATTCTGAACATTTTCTCCACTGGTGCCCTTATATTCAGATGCACGAAAAAACACAATGAATCTTTACCATTATATCAGCAATCAATGGCTTCTATTGGGTATAAATAATCAGACTACAACTAATCATGTCTTTAAAATAGTACATGAATACTTTCATGTCGCCAGATGTTTCAAAATCTGAGGATTTTTCTCTTCTGATCAATTTGTAATCATGTTATAAAATAGCCTCTTCATTTTTATTTTCTTATAAATAGTGTATACAGTTGATTTTTTTATATGCTTTTTTTAGTTTTCCATTATTTTATAATATTTTTTATAATATATTTGATATTCCGTGTATGAGGTAATGGGTGATGCATGTTCCCTGATCCCTTTTCACCAAATTGAAATAAAATATTGTTTTCACAAAGAAAGAAATAGAAAGAAAAAACAACCCAACATTTGTCAACAAGTTACACAAGGACTCTGTAAATACATGTTGGTTTTTTTTGCACCATGTGTTTTGTTTTATCCAAAATGCTATAGTCGAACAGCTGCTGAACTATGCACATACTAACCCTTCGGAATAACACCAAAGTGCATATCGAAAATTTCACAGCACACCCACAATGATGAACATAGTATACCGGGTGCATGAATTGTGGGATTTATTTCGGGAAGGGGCGCAACTCTTACTTGACTTGGCCAAATAATACTGGGTAATCAACCACATAATAAAACAAACTCCCAATTACGCATGGGCAATGGAACTTTTCATCAATTATTGACAACGGTCACAGCCTCTCCGTACCTTTGAAGACTAGCAGGTTCTTTTTGACTGAGACTACAGGTCCACCGGTCAAATAATGTTAAAAAGCTGCGAGTTTTAAAAAAGAATATCAAATCAGTGCCTGGCTGAGATGCCACATCACGTTCATTTCAAATGGTCAATATGTCAGCCGTCTTGTACAACACACCTTCTCCAACCAGAAATCGAATTTTCGATTTCTTTCTTATTATTGACTTTCTTACTAAAAACTCCTACAAAAAAATCACCCTATATCCACCGTGTGACACATACTCTCTTCTCTGCTACACATTTTATTAACCTTGTGATCGTAAAGGCGACCTTCGGTTATAATTTTTTTCATGACTAGTGGTCGGAACTAGAAACCGAACGCGAATGGTCCGGAAAATCGTGTGTTAAAAGATGGCTGCTCTCATGAACATGGTAATGTCAATTTATTCTGCTTTAGACCTCGACCATAACCCTAAGCCCAAGGAAGGTCTATAATCTCTCCACGGAGGATAATGAATCGCTATGCTATATGATGTTATATAGTTTAATAAACAAATAATACTTTCATGAAATTAAACTTGCGCGACTCAGATTCCTTTTGCATTATATAAGTATTGAAATAATGCGTATTTTTTAGACTTATACAGATTCAGACATAACATACGAAACAAAAGCTATCTGCTCATAGATGTCGCAACCATTTAAAATTCTTTCAAGCTTTCCTAAAATCAATATACTAAACAAAAATAGATTCTTTCTAAATATTCTACACTTACGTTTCATCGACACCCGACATCGTGGAACTACTCCGACCATGCTACAATAGCATGGTTAAGTATTTTCGGACTATGGTCCGGACTAAATGAAATTCGGATTCAGTTAGTTCGACCATAGTCAAGAAATCACGATAACCGAAGGTCGCCCTAGTATTGTCTCTGCGTATATTTGTAATTCTTTAACTGGTTAGGACTGACACATGGTTCGCATGCGCGTAAGGCTAATTAGTAGAGGGAGGAAAACGGAGAACCCGGAGAAAATCCACGAGGTTCGCCAGGCGACCCTACTCCTTGTCACGTACAACCGGGGATACGTCTTAAAGAAAGTAAGTGCCTTATGATACGTTTAGGCTCCATTAAACATCCACTATTTCGGACATGCTGTCCGGGCAAAATGTCTCCCAAAGCACACCGCATGTAGTGTTAACGCCGTATTCATTAGTTGTAAGGGTGAAGGGAAATAAGCCATTAAACCCCATTTTATTTATTACACCTTTGACAACATCACAAGAAAATTTGACGTCATTGCTTCTATTTAAAAAAAACTTCTGATGGATTTATTTATACAGAATACCCCTGCCCCCCCCCCCCAAAAAAAACAACAAAAAAACCTAAAATTTACAAACAAAAACTCCAAAACCCCACAAAAAACAGAGCCCATAAAATTCTTTATAAAATCCTACAAATATCAGTCTGTGTACGATCATTCCCCGAAGTGTCAGTTATCTTGTAGGATTTCATAAACAGTTTATGGGTTCTGGGGGGTTTTGTGGGGACACCTTACAACGACCTCGGTTTTGGCCTAGAAAGTTCATCAGGATTTTCCGGTCTGTCCACCCCTTGTCAGTGTAGGACCGAGGATCTTGCAAGGGGCAAGATATATTCGTTCGGATGGGGCGAAATACCGAGGTCCCGTGTACACATTGGCGTGCACGTAAAGGAGCCCTTGACAGTTGGAATTTGGACGTTAATAATAATAATATAATATAATGATGTTTTTTTTTATAGCGTTCTACCCATTAAGTCGCATTTTATTTCATTTCGTTGGTATATGTTTGGAATTGTTTTAATCTAATTTCAACATTTTTTTACATTCATCAGTACATTACATAATATAATGAATAAACACAAGTCTACTGGAAATGAACTAATGTTTAACGATAAAGTTACACGTAAGATTTATAGTTTTTCCCCCAAAATATTATATTGGCGTCACGGTGACGTTAAAGTCCTTATAAGTCAGTGTAATATTTTGAATAATATTTTATTTGTATCTCCTTACATGTAAATTGTAGTGTTAACCGATAGCAATTTGCTATATAATAGCAATAAAGGTGAGAAATTTAAGGTTTTTTTTTTTGTTATATCTTAATTAAATTTTAATAGATATCAATATATGATTATCTATACTAATATTTGTGACTGTCATTTGTCTGTCTGTCTGTCTGTTTGTCTGTCTGTTCGGGGTTGGTGGCTACACTAGGTCTGCCCCGAGTCTGAAATTTGGGGTATAGGGGTAGCTCGGACCGGGGAGTAACATAGGTCAGGTGGCGTTAGTCTACCACTTCCGGTTTCGGGGTTATGACCCTCTAGCGAAGCCGGGCATTCTTCTAGTAATATAATAAAAGGAGGTGTCTTCACCCGTTATTATAATGCTTGAACTGTAAATAGAATATATCATGAGACGAAAGATTAAATGAAAACAAATAGAATATGTAAGTACGTAGGTAATCGTATTTCCAATTCAGGCTATTATATTTGTATTTATTGAAGAAAGTCATTAATTGTACCAACTGCAGCTACAGATATTTCTAAAGAAACTGTTTCAGTTTGCGGTAAGCGACATTTAAATTCGTTTTTGAAATAATGCATCTTGTTGGGACATTGGGTAACATACATTACAGCACCTGGCTTACAAATAATAAACTTTCTGCTGTCCAACTCATTAACTTTCAGGCGATCCTTCTTTTCTCTTAATAAATGATCTTCCGTAGGACATGGATTTGTTTTGTAACTCCATGAATCTGTAATTTGAATTAAACAAAATCTATCACGTTCTTACAATTATTAGAGATCAACATTTATCGCCAAATACTGCATTCAAAAACGATCTGTGATATCACAATAACTGCAGGGAATCTAGTAGCTTCGTACGTTCCTAGGGTGACATAGCAGACAAGATTTTCCTGGGAATCTTCAAACATATAGCAGCTTATTGCGCTTGACTGTTATTCTATGATAGATGTAAGATGGCATATCTATCGGTAAATTTAAATAATTAATAATAATATATTGGATAGATTAAGATATGGAACAAACTAAATGTCATTGTGATAGAAAATAAACATATTTACCTTGGGCCAGATATATGCTGTATTCACTGATCTGAATATCAAATAATGTACAGTCGACCTCTTGACCATATCTACGACACACAACTTCACTCCGCACTAGAATAACAAATAATAACAATCTAATGATAAATTTATATTGGGTACGTAATCAATTTCCGATTATTTTTTTTATTGGTTATGATTATATAATGAAGACGTGGTAGAATCGCACTGATTATTATGTGTGTTACTACATGTAATGCCCCCGTCTGTATGGCGACCAGAAAATGCACAAGTTCGCCGGCAAACGTGAACACAACGCGAGAAAATGTCCCAAACTTTCCAGGTCAGATCGTAGATCATTGTCGTCGATGGTGACCACAGCACGATATCTGGCGTTACCACCACGCTTTTACCACGCTTATGGCGATCTTGGCGCGCTCTGAAATCACTGACGTCGCCGTAGCAGCGCAATAAGGACGCCACCCAGGTCTGAATTAAAAGGGTTATATATAAACCACAATTCACGTTGGGGCGGGACGGCCTTACCATTTTAAAACATCTATACGCATAAAAGAAAAAAGTATTTAAAATATACCTACTTGTTTCGTTTTTAAACATGTTAACCAGCTCATAAAAATCATTTACAATAATCCCTAGACTCTCAGTCTGGTTTGTTGGATTTTTGTTATTCTGGCTCTTGTCAACAGATGGTAAATCGTCTTGATTCGATGGTTTATCTTGTGTACCACATGTATGTGCTTCTGCATTCCACTCCTGTCCATCAGGACATTGAGTAATAAACGAGTTCCCATCTTCGTCACATTTTATAAACTTAGTGGGGTCGGGACTGTAAGGATGTAAAATCCGTTCGCTATTACCAAATAGTCCTGATGTACAATAATTATCAAGATATAGAACATCTAGAATAAATATAAACATGCTGTAAATCTTAATGTCTATAGACAGTCCAACAAAACATACACACCGAAGAAAATGAAATATAATTTAACAATATATAAAAGTATTTAAATGAAATTCTGCACCGACTTGGTTAATGAAGACGGGCATACACCATACAGTGTGCTGTGAGAGAAGTTTTGCCCGGACAGCGGCATTACGGTCTACTCATTTATCGAATTCCAACTGCCAAGGTTTCTTTACGTGCACCTCGGTGTTTCGTTCCATTCGAACGCCTAGACAGTTGTCCTTGCCAGGCCCTCTGTCCTGCACCACGCCGGAAAATCCTGAATGACTTTCTCGGTCAACAACACGGGACCTGCAGGGTAGCGAGCCAGCGTCTTACCCTTTTAGCCACAGTGGCTACCTGACACAGCACAGACAATGAGAATTGTCATAGGGAATAACAATGATCTTTACAAAAACGCTAATAAATTTACAACATACATGTTTTTAAAACAATACAAAAACCGGTGATGTACTAAATTAATTCCATTTTACGACACGAAAGGCTAAAATACACCAAAGTTTACCCAAATGTCAACATGTATATGAAAAATTTTGGTCAGATCTTCATGTAGAAGAGGCCATCTAAAGTATATAAAAAAAAGAAACGGAATATAAATCTGTATTTTATTCAGATTGACGTATTTCAGGCAATATTTCAAGATTCTTACAGGCATGTTTATCGAGCACATAATTTGTAAAACTAATTTCAAAATAATTTCTGAGGAATATTCGAGCTAGCGCAGACTGTAGCCCCACCCAAGAATTTCATAGCTTATTCAGTATATGTACTACTGGTCCAGCATCTCTCATAAAAACCTATACCGAAATATTTTAATAAAACAATTGGCAACATTTTGGTACCTCTGTTCAAACACTATCTGATCACAATTAAATGAACTAAAATAGGGTCTTACTTTTGTTCTCCAGTAGATACATACCAACTCATTCGAGCCAAGCAACATTAATAATTATCTTTGTTTAAAGGACAATATTGGTCCCAGTCATTATCACATATGTGATAGAACTGGTTAAACACGTTCCAAATATTATTTTATCACAGAGATCATTGCTACGATAGATGAGTTATCCCTTTACATAACTGAATGAAGTGACGGGTGATGACAGATAAATGGGCGAATTTCTGCTCACTGTGAAAGGATATCTGACAATTCATAAACAAAATTGACTCTCACTAGATAAGAGAACATGAATAAAAAATAGAAAAAGTCCGTGCATTACCATGTTTTTATAAGTATAGATAGGATGACCCGTGCACTCTACAGAAAGTTGGTCTCGACACGGCTAAATGTGCACGCTTCAGTTGCGTGTCTCGAACTGATTTCTGACTGCCCCGCACTCTCTTTGAGTCGATAAATAGCCATGCACGTGCAATTCTCTACAAATATATCAACTATTACAGCCGTAAAAAGTCTATTGTTGACGATTTTGAATAGCAGTAAAATTTAGCTTCTTGGTTATTACAGCAGCTTTAGAAATTACGTTTGTTTTTTTTTTAAATTGCTATATCATTAACTGTACCGTTAAGAGCGGCGTCTTTTGGTTTAGTACAAATAATATCTCTGAAACACTCGGGTTAGACAGGAACGTGATACTAGCAGTAGTTTCATTTTACTTTTACAAGATTCTTAAAACAATTGTTGAGTTGTCTAAAGTGCTTATTTCTAAATTCAATTTCTTGTTCTAGCTTTCTGTTATGTTTCGTAAAAAAGTAGTCTTGATTATCCCGACCTGTCAATCAGACGTAGAATGATCGATAGACTGGTTAAGCGAGACTAATTTCAAAACAAGGGCACGTAACCTATCTTTTACTCAAAAGTGACTGGATGTTATGGACGACACTTGGAACCAGTTTTCAGTCTATTATTTCTACATGATTAATGGTCATAGCTTATTAAGTACAACATGATCGTTTATTTAGTGACTATAATTGTGTGAAACTGATTTGAGGCTTGGTATATATATAAATATTGTGGCGTAATTGTCGAGATATTTGGAGATATTTATTTATGGTGGGTCACCCTAGTATAGAATGAATAAAAACCCGTGAATGTACAGACTGTTTCTATTTTTCTCTTGTCCTCTTATCTAATGTCAGATATACGATTACAGTCTCATACAACAACTTTTGGTCTTCGAAGGAATTTTTAGTGAGCAGAAATTCGACCATGTATCTGTTATCACCCGTCACTTCAGCCAGTTATATAGAGGGATAACTCGTGTTTTCCTTTTGCGTTCGTCACTTCCTATTGTTGAAACATTGATTATTCATCTATCGTGGCAATGATCTCTGTGATAAAATAATATTTGGAACGTGTTTCACCAGTTCTATCACATATGTGATAATGACTGGCACCCATATTGTCTTCTAAATGCATGATGCAGTTTTGGGAAAATAGTTGAAAATATCTACGTTGTGTTTAGGTGTCCCTGTCTTTAGTTTGAATAAGCACCATTACTACATTTTATTAAAATTCTTTAAAAAATATAAAAAGTTAACCGACGATGGATCACTCTGCCCAGTTCATATGGAATTGATTTGTTCGGCGAAGCAGAGGCGTTTATAAAATTACATATCATTGCTCCCTAAAAGTGGTTTTGTCCCCAGTAAAAATTACAGAAGAAAATATATCGAGGTTTATTGAAAACACAATAACAGTTCTAATAAAACTGACGACCGGCGGATAAGATGTTAAAATACGAAACTTTGAATTAAAATGTCATTTGAAAACACTACGTATAGTGTCCTAAAAGTGGACAAACACTGGTTTCGAGTTGCATTCAGGGCGACTGACGTCCGGTTGTATCTTTGAAGACTTGGTACCATCACCGGATTTGGTGAGTTTGAACTTTAAAACTACAATGACTATTAAGGCGATGCCAAGCAGGGTACCAAGTACCCCACCTACAATTCCAACCACGTTGTCAGACTGAATAACAATTGGTGCAGCTCTCGTAGTTATTTCAACTGTCTGAGGAAATACTTTAACTGAAATTAAAAGTGAACAAAATAGAATGCCACAGGAGAGATGATGGAAGAATGTCATCAGTTTTCTGTCAAGTATAAATATTGAAAATAACATTTATTCCGACTGTTTATAGTAGGGGGGGGGGGGGGCAAGTGTTTTAACGTGTGCGCGTCATGAAATCACAAGGTCTGTCATTGAGTCAAGTTGAGTGCTAACAAGGAGTAGGGTCGCCTGCTAAAGAACATTTGGTACAAGCGAATTATTGAAATAAAATTGGACCATGTTAGTCTCGAAATGACCTTTTGATTTCACTCGCACACGTTAAACCACTAGCCCATCCAATGCAGCACCATGGGTCTTCTGTCAGACGTGGAGAGCGGGAACTGCAAAACCGGTCGCCACATCCTGCGTACGACCCATGCATCTTTTCTTACTACATATCTTAGTAGCCTTGTGATCGTCTAGAATTTGTCTCTAGCTGTCTTTACTTTTTTTTTTTTTTTTTTTTTTTTTTTTTTTTTTTTTTTTTTTTTAAAAACCCAGTTTATTAACCAACAACATACATATACATATATATAAAACATGCATATATAAATCATGAATATAAGTATAAATATAAATCTGTAGATAATCTAAAAACTAGGATTGAATAAATATTACCTATATAGAGAACATAACGAAATGTATATTATATATATGAATAAATATTTTTAATGATTTTGTTTTATCTTCAGGATGTTGTGTCCGTCTTCTGTGTTGTATATTATCTTAGTTTTCATTTCGATGTATGAAGTATAACTTCTGGTATTTGGAACACTTTTTTTGACCTTACATGAGTAGATATAGTATTTTGATAACAATATAAGTAAATTAACAGTATTTAATTCTTTTTCATTTTTTAAATTCTCATGTATAATTATACCTAAGTGTTTAATTATACTAGTAAGATTAATATATATATTATTATAGATTAATATTTCATGTAGTTTCTGCCATACTAATTGAGCATATTCGCATTGAATGAAGAGATGATCGATATTTTCAATTGTAGAATTACAAAAATCACACAGTAATGAGTTAGATAATTTCATTTTATATAATCGATCGTTAAGGTAAATTACATGGTGTATATATCTAAAATGAAATGTCACCATTTTTGAATCTCTAGTTATTCTTCGTATCTGTGTAAAAATGTGTTTAACTTGGTCTTCTTCTAGGGCAATACTATAATTTTTTTCCCACCTGGCAATAGCTGGTGGTTTTGTGTAGTTCTTTTGTACAAGTTTTTTATAAATGTCTTTTGAGGTTATATTTGATATATTTTTTTTGTATAATTTTTCTAAAAAATTATCCAAATTTACATTTAATCTATTGTCAAAAATTTTAGTATTCCAACTGTATTCCGTTTCCGATATTGTTTCCTTTACCTTTTTAATGTTAACCAAAATTTGATTGATCTCCATTAACTTGATAAGATCATTATCATATTTGGAAAGATTGATGTCTGCGATATCCTCAACAAATAAAATGTTATCGTTAATTAATATATTCTTGATTGAAGACTTATTGTTAATTCTTAGATTATGGTTATTCCAAATCAATTGATTTCTTAAGGGAACCAATCCGTCAATATAGCACGTGTATATGTTATACCAGTTTTGAAATAGATTTGTATAAAAGGGTGTCGAGATAATGTCTCTAATATTGAAGTTAGATAACGGTATTAAATATCCATTCTGATTTTGTAGGATATGTTCGTAAATAATTTTCCATGGTTGTTCTTGTTCGGAGTATATTTTTTTTATCCAAAAGATACTCTGGCTTTTCAACAATTCATTAATGTTTATCATATTTAAACCCCCCATTTCAAATTGTTGGGAAATAACATTTCGTTTTATTTTATCTGGGCCTGACCACAGGTAGTTATATATAATCGTATTAAACTTTGAAATGATATACTC